GGAGAGAAAGAGAGAGCGAAAGAGAGATAAAGAGAGCGAGAGAGGGGGAGAGAAAGAGAGAGCGAAAGAGAGATAAAGAGATGCGAGAAGAGGGGGAGAAAAAGAAGAGCAAGAGAAGAGAGAGTTAGATAGATAGATAGGTAGATAGGGAGAGAGAGAGGAGAGAGAGAAGAGAGAGAGAGACAGAGAGAGAGAGAGAGAGAGAGAGAGAGAGAGAGAGAGAAGAGGAGAGAGCGCGCGAACGAGAGAAAAAGATCAAGCGAGTGTGTGGGTATGTGTGTCTTGTGTGTGTGTGTGTGTGTGTGTGTGTGTGTGTGCGTGCGTGCGTGCGTGCGTGTGTGCGTGCGTGGCGTGCGTGTGTGTGTGTGCGTGCGTGCGGTCGTGCGTGTGTGTGTGTGTGGGTGTGTGTGTGTGTGTATGTGTGTGTGTGTGTGTGTGTGTGTGTGTGTGGTGTGTGCATGTGTGTGTGTGTGTGTGTGTATTGTGCGTGTGTATGTGTGCCGTGTGGTGTGTGTGGTGTGTGTGTGTGTGTGTGGTGTGGTGTGTGTGTTGTGTGTGTGCGGTGGGGGGAGTGGTAAGGAGGAGGTTGTGTGTAATGTGTGTGTATGTATGTGCGGTGGGGGGAGTGGTAGGAGGAGGTTGTGTGTGTATGTTGTGCGGTGGGGCGGGAGTGGTAGGAGGAGGTTGTGTGGTGTATGTGTGTGCGTGGGGGGGGAGTGGTAGGAGAGGGGTGTGTGCGTATGTGTGTGTATGCTATGTGCGGTGGGGGAGGGGTAGGAGGTTGTGTGCTGAAATGCGCATAATATATCAATAGCCGGGTATTTTCGGCGCTTTGTCTGGAAGCGAGGCGCGGGCAGCGAGATGCGAGCACGGACACGCACACGGGTGCAACATGGCAGATGAGAGGGGAGAGAGGGAGGAGGTAGAGAGATAGAGGATAAAGAGAGAAGAGAGAAGAGAGTGGCGTTGCGCGCGAGAGATAGAGAGCGAGCAAAGGAGAGAGAGGGGGAGAGGAGGGAAAAAGAGTGAGAGAGAGAAAGAAAGAAAGAAAGAGAGAGAGAGAGAGAGAGAGAGAAAGAAAGAAAGAGAAGGAGAGAGAAACACAGAGAGAGGGCGCTGCTGCTGCTGCTGTGACATATCGTCTGCGGCACAGGCACTTGGAGCGTTTCAATAAAATATAATGCTAAATAATACGAAATCTGTTTACTACCAAAGTCTTAATGTTTCTCTACTTTCTTTCACCTATTATTGCCGACAATTTTATTATTTTTTCGAGTTTAAAATGGACTCGGTCGGGTTAGTGGAAACAAACGTCTTTTTTTAGGCCTAAATAAAATTGCATGTGGAGCAGTGTTTGCAAAGATTCTCTGTGATAAGAATATGTTCCATAATGATACAGCCAACATAATAACTAATACATACGTTAATGTACGTTCTGTACATTGATACATATATTAATATTATGAGGATATATAATATATATATATATATATATATATACTCTGTGTTGAGTATAATATCCCTTGTGGTCATACCTCATTAATTGTTAGTCATGACACAAGGCGTAATCACTGTGTGAAGTCTCAAATGAAATGTTTTTTTAGATACTGGTCTATGGTCAGCACTCCGTTGCACTGATGCCCTCTATGGAAATGACGTCAATGCACTTTCACAGCTAACCGATGATGAGTTGGCGCTTTTGTTTCGTGAGGCTCTACTGGTCACCCTGAGTCTTGACCCAGGAGTCACAGTCCTGGATCTTGCAATGAAAGCGCGTTGTTTCTCCAGGAAGGTAAGCGCACATCAATTGAAGGTGTTCGGTATAAATGGAAAGGGAAACAGAGGGCGAATAGAGAAAGAGGATAATGAAACAACAAAGATAAAATTAATACAAATACAAAGCTAATGAAACAACTTTTTAAAGGACAAGAAAGAACGCAATTATTGGCATTTGAAAACGTTGGAAATTTAGCAGCCCTGATGCTAACCCGAAATGCTGCCTCCTATTAGTGCGTTAATATGCTGCCAGTTATTAGTGCGTAACTCACGCTAAACTAGCTTTTATTTACACCCAAGTTTCAGTTATTTTGCCATCATATAATTATTGAACAGCATTAGTGTATTTGTCTTAAAGGGATTACGTCACGAATTTTCTATGGTAAAATTTGTAAAATAAAAATTCCCATTTTTTTACATTAAAAGTAAGAACTAACGGTACTAAACAAATCGTCAAATTCTTACCTGATAAGATTGTTTCTAAACTAGTTAAAAATCAAAAAAACCTGGACGATTTGAATTAATGTTGTCTAACATTAATTGCTTGTTATGGGCTATGTATGGGTCACGAATGTATGTTCGGTGACGTAATCACTTTAAATCTATATCTGAATTCTGCTGCCCTCCTCTCTCTCTCTGTCTGTCTGTCCCTCCCCTTCTCTCTGTCTGTCTGTCCCTCCCTCCCTCTCTCTCTCTCTCTCTCTCTCTCTCTCTCTCTCTTTCTCTGTGTGTCTCTCGCGCGCACTGTCGCACTCTCTGTTCTTCTTTCTCTCTCTCCATCTCTGTCTCGGTGTCTGTCTCTCTCTCTCCCTCTC